CATGGAGTGCAAAACTTAACTGTCCACTCTACTGCATTTTCTATCAGCTGCAGCTTCCAGGTACTCTTCAAGGCAGCCCCATGTACAGCGTGTTACAATAATCCATTCTGGAAGTGACCAGGACTTGAGTGACTAAAACTAGAGCAGAGGTCTCCACACTTGGCAACTTTAAGACTTGTGGACTTTACCAGTTTGGGCTTCTTCGGCAATGGACCGAAATCCGCGATCGTGTGCAGTTTTGATCCATGCTTGCCGATGGAGCACCCCGATCCTTTGGATTTGGGGCTGAAGCCACCCTGCAGAGGTGGCGAAGAGGGGGGGGGACCACCAGCTGAGTCGAGGGGAGCCACATCTCTCCTCCTTGGCTTGGCATTACTCCTTTTCCCGAAGGCGGTTGCAGCGGTGGTCAGAAATGGCCACCTCAAAGAGGAACCTGACCGGACAATAAAAGCAGGAGGGAAGACAAAGGGAGAGAGCTTGACAGACCAGGCTAAGCTGAGATAACATCTATGCAAGGTAGCCTGGAACTAAAATTATTAAGAGCGTTAATTCCTAACAAAAGATTTTTAAAGCGGCAGAGAAGAAAGGGGAAAAGGAAAAAAGATTTTTTTTCTTTCTCACATTGATAGCTGCAATTGGCTTTGAAAGTTAAAAAAAAAAGACACAACTAAGAAATTTGTGTTGATTTACTTTGACACTAACAGGTAATCCTAAACTGAAATTAAATTTTGTCAAAGGGAAAATAAAGATTTTTTTGGACATTCTAAAGCCCTCAAAAGGAAGAAAGTGGAGACAAAAAGAAAGGGTGGACTTGGAAATAACAGAGTATCACCTGGAAATAAAAAGAATTAACTGTGAAACTTTAAAAAGATTTCCAAAAGATATACTGTAACTGAAACTTTGCTACGATATAACAGAACCCCCCGGAAAGGAAAAGTGGAAGAAAGAAGCAAGAAGAAAGAGCTTTGGATTACTTGGTGATTTTTGGAATTTTGGGTGTTGGATTTTCAGTGGTTTGAATTAAAATCAATTGGGTGGTTGTTTTAAAAGTGTTTAAAATGGCAGTACTCCTTGAGGAATTAAAAATGGAACTTAAAAAATGAAAGAAGAGTCGCAAGAGGGAAGAGGATCCTTTGGCTTGGCACTTCAATTTTTAGAAATGGAGATTTTAAACTATGAAAAACAACAAGAAACGCTTGAAGAACAAGAAAGGTTGGATAAAGAAGAAACCATCTTTAACGACCAAACAATGCAATGTGGGGTAAAATGGAAAAAGGAGTTAAAAATTTAAGCCTTGGGGAAACAACTAAAAAAATAGTTTGAAAAGTAAATATAACAGTAGGAAGAAGCAGAAGAGAGGATTACAGAAGGGAGAATCAGAGAGACAAGGGGACAAAAAGGGTGGAGAGAAAAAAGAGGGGAAAGATAAAAAGGAAAATAAGTTATAAGGGACAGAAACAGAAAATAAAGGAACAGGGGAAACATACAAAGATTAAAGGTATTAGCCTAATTAAAAGACCTAGAGATAATGGTTAAAAATATAAATTAAAAGAGAGGATTCTGCAAGGATACAAGAGATAGTGTTGTTATATTAGAAATAGTAATGAGCTAGGAAATATGAAACATAGGTGATTAAAGTGAAAGATAAAACTGGTATTGTGATGTAATGGAATACTTGCTAGGAAATAAGAAGGAATGAAAATAATTTAATTGTTTTTAAGGATTTATAAACAGAATTGAAGAGAAATGTGAAAGATTTATAATGAAATCAATATCAGTTGTCAGGATCAGTTGTTGAATGGATTAATCATTTTATTCATTATTTTTATATATTTTTTCTTTTTTTAGAATTAAGTGTGTATTGTTGAGGGAAAGTACCAAGCGGAATTCGGTTGATAAGAGTTATATGATATAAAATAGATATTAGAAATTGAATGTTATAATTGTATAATGTATAAATTAAATGTTTAATGAGATTTGAAAGGATAATAATTTTAAAATATAAAGGTGACACACTCTATTTGGTAATTATAGGGGAAACCTTGCTTTTTAATGCCTGAAGGAGAGGGAATTTTCTTTCTCTTTACTTTCGGGATGATAATGGAAAAGAATCTATGAAATTGTAAATAGGACAGACAAAAGCACAAGTATAAATACTAGAAAGATATAGAAATTTAGAAAAAGATATGCAATTGAATTAGAAAGGAATGAGATAATTATAAAATAAGGCTGAGGAAAGTAAGAAAAGAGAAGAATTATTGAAAAATGTATAAAATAGTGATAAGATATGAAATTGAATACAAAGATGAGTATGTAACTGAGATTATGTCTGTATGGAGATGTGATAACCTGGAATCATGCTGCTCTCAAAAAAAGATGTTTTATTTCTATTATGTTTTGTGAAAAACCAATAAAACTTACTAGTTAAAAAATAAGACTTATGGACTTCAACTTCCAAAATTCTCCAGTTATGTTGAAGTCTACAAGTCTTAAAGTTGCCAAGTTTGGAGACCCCTGGACTAGAGCCTCCCAACACAAGAATGCTTAAATATATTTGAATATTTCTCTGACTTTGAAAGCCTGCTCTAATGAAACATATAGGGACAAAGTGTGATTGTTCAGTGATAACATGAATTAAAACAACACATTAAGCTATAGTTTGTACTGGTTATTTATTTATTGCTTTAAAATAAACCAAAAACCACAGGAAACAAAAACTGAAAATAATACATGAAATCAAAACAATTGGACCCTTGGGGAAAAGTTGTGTTATTTTTTTTTAGCAAAGAAATTGCTCTTCAGAGATTTGAACTGACTAAAAGATTTTTGGTAGGACAGTTTCCAAATGAAGGTTTTTCTAGGCTAATTTTTGCATTATTGATGGATCAGTAACTATTAGCAGCTGCCTTTTCTGTTGTTATTATTTATTTTCATATGTTGCTTGGGAATTTCTCACTCGGGGAATATGGATGGATTAGACATGCTGAGCCTGATCCAGCCTTGAGTTGTCTAATTATTTGCAGATCTGAGCAATGCAATGTTGATTGATTTCATATGGTTAGGAAACTATATTGCAAAAGTCCAAGCAAAGTAGATTATCAAGTACTTCAAGGCTTTAAATTAACTATTGTCAAAAACTCCTTATCAGGCTGGAACTTGCAAAGCCCCTGTTTGGCTGGAACTTGCAAGGAAAATTCAAAACTATCAACAAATTTAGCAACTGAAGTACCAGCATTCATATACACTGCTCTACTATTTGTCAGTTAAAATAGATATAAAATTAAGGGAAAGAGGCCAGAGCGATTCATTGATGAACAGCAAATTGCAGCAATGTCATTTACATTGCCTAACCAAACTCTCCAAAAAGATTCTTTAAAAAACTGACAGCAACAAAATCAAAGGGCAGCTACCTGGAGAAAAATCAAATTTCACTAACGTCTGCATTTCCCGCCACCCTGTTTATTCTTCCTTCTTCCTTATCTACTTTGTCAGTAACGAAAACACAGAGCATTAGCTCCTCCAACTGACTATTCAGGGCATTGTCTTCCTCCTTCAATATTACTAAGGTACTCTGAACAGCATTAGAAATATCTGAATCCGTACTGAACTCTGTGTGCATGTAATGAAAAATTTGTATACAAATCTGAAAAACTAAGATGCCAGTACAATTTAAAGAAGAGCCAACCTGAAGAAGAAAACAAATACACTTCAAGAAAGGTAAGTAGTAATATCACACAATTCACTTTCATTTTTGCTTATACTGCACCTTATCCTTTAATTTCCTATAAAAGGGGAGGGATTAAAAATTGTCCCATTTAAATTATTATTTTTTAAATAATTTCTTCCCTCTAGTTAAAAACAGGGTATTCCTTCCTTTCATCTTCTTTCTTTTTCTTCCTTTTTTCTTTTCATTTCTTTCTCTCTCTCACACACACACACACTCAGACTCTGTGTGTGTGTGAAAATTATAAATTATAATTGTTCAATACAATAAATTTACATAAAACAGAAAAAAAAGAAAAGGGAATGAAAACATAGTTATGCCTTCTACTGTTCTTTCTATAAATAATTGTCTTATTCTTTTCCTCATCCTCCTTGTCCATTTTTCATCCCTAAATCCTGAAATCATCAATTCAATTTTTCTTCTTTCAATAAAAAGTCCACATAAGATTTCCAGACTTTTTTTTAATGTCTCGTTTTTCTCTGACCAGACTGATCAGCTTCTCCATTTCTGAAAGTTCAGTTAGTTTTATAATTTGATCTTCCACTACAGGAATTTCATTGCTTTTCCAACTTTTTGCACACAATAATCTTACCACAGTTACACAATATTAATTTCCCATATTTATTTTCTAATTCCGTTTCCATAATACCCAATAGGAATAGGGCTGGTTGTATCTCACAATTATGCTCAAAAATAACAGAAGAGAAATCACTGAATCTATATGCCATATTTTGGCCATAATATGCTCATGGTATTATATATAGTACACAATCCCATCACAACTCAACACTCAGGGTCTAGGTCAATCAGAATGTCTAGGTCAATCAGAATGTCTAGGTCAATCAGAATCTCAATTTCACTATGTCAGTAAATATGATTACAGAGTCCCCAATATACAACTGTTCGTTTGGTGACTATTTAAAGTTACAGCACTGAAAAAAGGGGCTGTTTTTTATACATACAACTGTTGTAGCATCCCCATTGTCAAATGATCAAAATTCAGATGGTTGGCAACTTATATTTTTTTCAGAAGTTTTCCATTGTGTTCCTTTAAAGGGCTGAAAGAGAGTGACTGGGAAACAGAAAAAGAATGTAGTCTAACAATTGGAGTATGGATGATGCAGCAAATTCATAATTGATAAAATAAAAAAAACTATCAGATCAAAATGAAGAGGAGCCCAACAACAGCAATTATTTTTGTACCCTCATATATACTTTTTGTAAGAGTTTTAAAACTAAAATCAATTTTGGAGTTATTCAAACATACAGTACTTACAATATCATATCCCAAGTTAGCATATTGAAGAAACTTTTCAACCAATGAACGAGATAGCTGATTAAATCTATAACGGAAGAGGTCCATTTCTTGTTGGATAAACCATCTTTTAAGCTCCTCCCTATATTAAAACAATGAATGCATTATGAAATACAGTTGATTTAGGCACATATAATAAATCAGAGTTTCTCTAGAGCCTTAATTTCAATGAGATAGGAAAAAAGCTTATTCACTACATTTAACTTTCTATTTTTACAGCTAATTGGAACAAAATACAGTTTATAAGTCCTATAAGACAATAGTGAGCTGTGTACTGATATTTTATGAATAAGCATATACTTTTAAAATGATTATTTTGTTCAACCATGCAAGAAATAGTACAAAAGCAGAATGTATTTAGCAAAGCAGAATTCAAACGTTTATTTATACTGTTTGGCCCTGATGCCCTTGTACTCTCTAAAAGACCATTAGGTATTAATTCTTCTACTATGAAAATGGCAATCTACTATTAACATTTTTAAAAAATCAAAAATAAATTGGACAACACCCAATAAATTTGAATTATAGAATTGAAATATCCTATATTACCCAAACAATACCTTCAGGCTTTGTGGAATATTCAATATGTATCTTATCATCAAAAATAGAGAATGAATTGTTAATTTTTTGTTAAATTATATGCCTCAAATGTCAAATCTTTCAAACTATGAAAACCTTTGAATATATTATACTTGGACAATTGACCCATGTTATCATGTACTCATAGAAGTTCATTTTTACAGTATCCCATTCTATAAAGACTACCCTTTGTATGAACTCTGTACTTTCAGACAAGCAAGACTGGACCATATGCTTCTGTATAATCTAGGTTCAATTTTTTGTTTAAAATAAAATCACAGTATAGAGAAATTGAATAAATTATGTAATCTCTCATTTCTGTGTGCATATAATATTACACACATTCTTTATGTATGTAGAGAAGCATTTATATATTATACTATGGCTTGATTTATACTATCTATATAAATAAACTGGAAAATTGATGTATCACTATATAAATGTACTTCTATCTATACAGAAATACAGTAGATATAATTTGGGTATTGAGATGTTTCACTTTATTAAACTGATTTCTAATTTAGAGATGTTCATTTTTTTCCTATTTCCTTGGGTTATTTTTCCTCTTTCCATTTTATTTTTTCAGATAATTTAATTTTTTCTCCATCTTGATAACTCAAAATTTCTTTTTAAAGTAGTTTATATAATACCAATATAATTATATCATATTAAACAAATTATTTTTAAAATCAATTGTAATATTTTTACATTTAATAAAAATACTGTGTGAAATAATACATAGAAAAAACTTTTTAACATAGCAGCATTTTGTTTAAATGTACATATTGAATATGCCAAACATATAGCCAGCAATAGTGTTCTCTTTTGTTCATAGACAAAAAAATTAAAAACAAATAATTGTGATATCAAAGTACAATATCAAACAGTTATTATTAAAAATAGAGACAATGTAAAATTTTGCCTCATGGTGGCAGTGCTGAACTACTAAAATCTCTAACAGACAATCAGCTTTGGCTTTCCTACCACCATACTATCACAAACATTGTAAAATTATGCGGTTGTGGTTTCGACTTGTTGTGAAACACCTTAAAATTAAGATACCACATGATACAAAAAGGTTATTTGAAAAATTAAACATTAATTATAAGCATCTGAAGAATCCTAAAGGCAACATGCTTATTAAAACGTTGCGAAAACTCCTGACAGAAAAGCCAGGATTCTTCTGATAACTTGTTTGTAGAACTATAACTATTTTCTCAATTTGAGCTATCCAACTTTTGTGCCATAACTTTCCTCAATATAGGTTTAAATGCAGATTCTATTTACTGCTTCCCAGAGAGAGAGAAAAGAAATCCTGAAATTGTGCTTATTTGCCTGTGAAAATTGTTTTAAGATGCTCATTGAAGTGTGAAGGCATATACAGGTAGTCCTCAAATTACAACCATTTGTTTAATGATCAAAGTAACCGAATAGTGACTTATGACCCTTTTTCACACTTACAGCCGTTGTAGCATCCCCATGGTCACATGATCAAAAATGGACACTTGACAACTGACTCATATTTATGATGGTTGCAGTGTCTCTGGATCATGACCCTTTTGCAGCCTTCTAAAAAGCAAAGTCAATGAGGGAAGCCAGTGTTACTAACTTAACAGCAGTGAACAACTGTGGGAAGAAAAGTCATAAAATGGAACAAAACTCACTTAACAACTGTCTTACTTAACACAAAAGTTGGGCTCAATTATAGTCATAAGTCGAGGAATATCTGTACTTAAAGAGCATGTGGGATTATCTCCTGGACAATTAAATATTACTTAAAGAGTTTTATCAATCTTTTGACAAAGGAAAACCACTTCCCCTAACCACAATAAATTATTTCCATTTTTTTCAGAAACCATGAATTATGACAGCATCAACCTAAGAGGCATTATATTTAAGGAAGACCACATCTACAGTGCTGGGTGTTACTTATAAGGCTGTATATAGCATATATGGCTTTATTATATGACAGCCAACCACCTGCTGGGCCCATTCAATCCAAGGTGGTTTGCACACTCCAGATTTCTTTGATTAAGCAATGCCATCTATCAGGACCCTGGAATGAGGTTCTCCCTGTAATCTGAGTAGCTCTGACCCTACTGGTATTTTAGTTTCAGTTTTAGTCATTTTTAATGATATTTTAATCTGTGTAGTATTTTAATATTATCTACAAATAAAACACTTTCTTCCTCCTGCCATATCCACCTACAGATATTTTTCCAGCCATTTTGGAAACCACAACTCCAAAATATATACAATATCAAATACATCTGAAAATCATAATACATTATAGATTTTAACATCTGGACCTTATAATAACTAGACAAATTGTACCTACGATTGGCAATAGGCAAGGCGCAATATAAAATGAGAAATATGGTCTTTTCTTCTTGCATTATAATCATCTTCAGTCAAAGCCTAGTTAAAAAAGAATAGAGCAGTAAAACAAAACCTGCATCACACCCACCATAGCATATTATATATTAGTGAATGGTAATATCACCAGGTAAATAGAAGACAAACTCAAATAATTACAATTTTCCTCTTCCCTCGTATATTTCCAATCTCCTGCAACTTCCTCCCTTCAAAGCTTTCTTAGAGAATCAAGACAATTCAAGTTGTATCTTATTAATTGCAACTGGGGAAAAAATTTATAAGACACTTTTGTCTAATTTGGGCCAATTACATCAACCACATAGACACAACACACAAATATTGTCCTATTTGTCTATCACCTGAACTGTCTGGAAAAGTATTTTGGGTAGTTCAGACATCTACCAAGCAAGGAGAGTAGGATGTAATGGATGAAGGGAAAAGGAAAGCATAATCCTAATCTACTTTTTTTGTTCTATAATCTTGTATACTACTGACCATAACACTTTGCAGGGAATAACAGGGCTAACTGCAGGGTTTATTACAAGGGCCATCAATTGGATCCCAGTACACAATAATCATTTGAAACTACAGGAGGAAGTGCCAAATGGAAAGATGAAAATCACATTACATCTAAGATCCATTTAAATTGGGTCTTTCCTCAGATGGTATTTTATTTTATCCCGAGTGCCAAGCATCAAGGGCATATTATTCACTGCTACTTACATGATATGGAAATTTAAGGTGTCGAAGTTCCAACTGTAACTTTTCTTGGTAAGAGTCACTACCTTTCACATAACTCACACCCAAGTTCTCAACTGCTTTGAGTACTGCAAAAACCAGACAGAGTTTTGAAATATGGCAGCGGAGCAGTGATTAAAAACCTACAGTATCTGAAAATATTACTTTCATGCAATCAATATATTCTAGCACTAAGAAACAGATTATGGTAATCACGTGTATTATGAATGCTATCATACTGAACAGAATTCAAAATGTATTAGTTTTGTAATTAAGAAAAAGATGAAGAGATATGCAATTCCACCCAAATGTGAACTTGAATCATTCTGAAAAACTACCCGTAATTTTAAAAAACTATTTTGTGTTATATACTTACATTTCAATCTATCAACTGCAAAATTTTCGAACTCCATCAGAGAAATATTTTCAGTAGGGGGCTGCAGATAGAACTGGACACTAAGAGGATATGACTCTTGTTTATCCCCCAATTTCAAAACTCCCCGTTTGACATTTGAAGAAAACTGCATTTTTTCCACATAAACCTATAAAGAATGTTGCAAAACTTTAATAAAATATGGAATGAATAATCAAGACAAACAAAGATAAGCATGAGTCAGAATATTCATTACATGTATTATATAAGAATACAACTTCTTTCTGGGATCAAGTTGCTTCCAGGCTTGGTTACATGTATTTGATGTTATGATTTTTTCCTCAATCACAGGTACATAATTTGAAAAGCAATTCAAATTTTACATTTTGTAAAAATCAGGACACTGGCAAGAAAATGGCATGAGATAGTCGCCAGGAATTGAATTCAATTTTAGGACATATTTACAATAAATGAACAGCATCCATTCAAAATCTCTTTGCTGCCCCCAAAGGGAAAATATAGACAAGAGGAGGTTAGATACCTGCCCACAAATACTTTTATAAAAGTAGATTGAGACTAAGCAAATCCTATACTGTTAAAGCAAAAATCCTACATTCCTTTTATTTCTTGGCTAGCAACTTAATGCTCGGTATAAAAGAAGCAACAAGAATGAAGCCTGTAAACCACATCTGACCCTAAATGCCTATACACTTATGTATATGATTTGCTAAATTAATACGATCACCTCTATTACCATATTATCTGTATTGGCCAAATATGCCCAGACATGGATAAAAATCCATAGCTTTGCACTTAATACAAGCAAATAATTCCACACAATATATTGAACCCTAAATTAGTCCACAATGGATGAATTCTTCTTACCTAATAGAGTACAAATTTTGCAGATGCATTTTAGTAGAGCATTGTGTGAATACTCCCTACCTCATTTCAGAAAGAGGAGGAATCATGTTGTCAAAGTCAGTGCTTTTCTTATCTGTTGGAAGGAGGTCTTCTCTCTGGAGTTATTGTCCTCACACATGTGAAGAGAGGCAGAGAGCCGACAGAGGAGAATACAGGTAGTCCTCGATTTACAACTACAATTGTGCCCAAAATTTTTGTTGCTAAGTGAGACATTTGTTAACTGAGATTTTCCCCATTTTACAACCTTTCTTGCCACAGTTGTTAAGTGAATCACTGCGGTTGTTAAGCTAGTAACACAGTTAAGTGAATCTGGCTTCCTCGTTGACTTTGCTTGTTAGAAGGTCACAAAAGGGGATCACATGACCCCGGACTGTAACCAACATCCATGAGTCAGTTGTCATCTGACTTTTGATCATGTGACCACGGGAATACAGCAATGGTTGGTAAGTGTGAAAATGGTCATAAGTCTTTTCTTCAGTGCCATTGTAACTTCGGTCACTAAATGAACTGTTGCAAGTTGAGGACCACCCGTATTAATTTGTAGCTCAGGTTTAACCTGTGGGGTCCCTGGTGCTTGTCTGAGCTTATTTTATTTATTTATTAATTTTACTTTATTTGTCAAGCAAGTATTAGATAACAGGTATAAGTAAAAGCATGGTTATGAATACATGAAATGGATACGAATAAAAAAGAAACTATAGACGTTCATTACCAACGTATAGTTGGGTAGGCAACATTACACAACTGATGATGTTTGGTAATGAAACACCTTGTAAAGAAAACCACCAAGTTCCGAGAGCACCAGGAACCCCAGAGGCAGATTAAAGAGGCAGAAATGGAACACCTAAGGATTTAGGTGAAGTACTCGTATAAAAGAAAACTCTACACAATTCAATCAAACTATCTAATCAATAAAGCGCGTGTAGGATCACAAACGGTGTGACATCATCACCTAAGCAACAGGGGAATCCATTAAAAAAAAAACCTACTCACCGACCAGCCACAGTCTATGTGGCTAAGAATCTCCCGCGCTAAATCAGTACACGCCAAGCCCTCCTCGTGACGTCATCTTCTCTCTTCCGTTAAAACTTCCACCCGATTGGCTCTTCCGCCTGCTTCTAGGGAGTTGCCATGACAATGCCCTCGCCTTCTTCCACACCTGTCATTTCAAGGAGGCGGGAAGGGGGGAAAAGGCTGCAAATCGAAGGAACGCGCGACAGACGAGATCTAGCCGGAAGTGAAGTGCCTCCAGTGCGGGGGGCGGGGGGGGGCGCCTCCCTGTGTTTGAGAGAAGTCTCTCGTTTTCGAGCCATCAGTTTTGAGGCGCTCGTAAATACCATAGAGATAAATATGTGAGCGTCGTACGCAGCTCACACTTCCGGTTTCTAATTTTAAAGCGGAGGACCAAGGGAGGAAATCGTGCGTTGAAATAAAACAATCCCCAACCCCATTCCCAAATAATTCTGCAAATTGTGGAAAGCGATCCGAGGCTTTGGATATTGCAATTTTCCTCTCTTTGGTTCACGTTTTGGAATAGATCACAAAGTCTTTCTTGGTTACGCCTTAGCACAATCATAAGGATCATCAGAGTTAGAAGGGACCTTGGAGGTCTTCTAGTCCAACCCTCTGCTAATGCAGGAGACCCTATGACATTTCAAACAAATGGGTGTTCAGTCTCTTTTAAAAGCCTCCAGTGAGCCTCCAGCACCCACAACCCATGAAGGCATGCTGTTCTACTGATTGATTCATGTTTGTTGTAGTTACATAAGTAGATGGAGGCCAGTGTTGCTAGCATGCCATTTCACCAGGATTTTACAACAATTCAATAGTTGTTTCCTTAAGTGTAAACTGTTACTTGTGTTATTGTGGGTTGTGTGAACCCAGTTTTGTTGACCTTTTCTTTATTGCTTTCTTTTATTCCAGGCATCAAAGATGTTGTCAGTGAGGCTTGTCTAGGCACTGTGTGTCCAAAACACCAAAAATTTAGCCTTGTATTTAGTGCTTATGGGGAGCTGTCTGACCTTGTTTTATCAAATTTTATCTGTCTCAAATGATATGGGCTGCTTGAGCACATTCGACTTCCAAGGTCCCTTCAAAATGTTATTTTGTGATCCAAGGTCTCTCTCAACATAATTTAAAGTAATTCTGTCATCCCTTCTAATGGTCCAGCTTTCACTGGTATCTGTTGCAGCTGGGAAATTTGTAGTTCTACCTATGTGGGCAATGTAATATCGGTGCATTTTAATATTTTGCTAGATCTGTCAGTCCTTCTCCCAAGTTGCAGATACAAACACCTTCTCTGTGAATGTTTAAGTCAAAGTAGATAAAAGGCTGCTACTTCTTTTCAACGTATTTATACTGAGTAGGTATTGTCTATTGATATATTATGGTTTTTTAAAATTTATTTAAATAGCAAAATCAACTTCTGCACTTTCTTCTTTCAGTTACAACATGCAATGGGCTTTTCCTCGCCTCCAGCCATCTAAGGATACAACAGGGTAAATTTATAGGGAAAGAAAATACTTTCTTTTTAATCATGTGTTCTGGAGACCATGGGATAAAGAACATGAGATATATTTTACTATCTGCATTCTTTATGAATATCCAGGCACTACATAAGAATTGGAACAAACCAAGGAGCATAACTGCCCCCACACACACCCATATACACACACACACACATTAGAAGTACACTGAAGAATACACAACACTCAGGATATTTTTAAGGCATTTTTTATAGTAGCAGTCCCTAGATAGTTCACAAGACAACTATAAACATTTAAAACAAAGTAGCAATATAAGAAGATAAACCAGAAAACAAAAATGACAAAACAAAGCCCACATCCACTCCTCAGAAGATGTACCAATCCCAGCCAAAGACCTTCAAGGCCTTCTGAAATACCAGAAGGTGGGAGACATGTAGATCTTCTGGAGTAGGGACTTCATTTCAGAGGACAAGTGTTATGACATGTAAAGTATGTGTATTTCTAACTGGAATGGTAAAAAAAGCCTTCCAGAAACCTTTTGTTTTCTTCCATTTCCCAGAATTGATGTGCTTAAAGCCTTGCTAACTCAATATAGACAAGGCTGGTAAACTAAAGATGCCATCGGTGCCAGATATTTTTTTTTAGAAATATATAAGTTCAAAATACTTTGTTAATGTTATATAAAAGGTCAGCTGACTTGGTCATATAGGTAGTCCTCGACTTACAACCACAATTGAGCCCAAAATTTCTGTTGTTGAGACATTTGTTAAGTGAGTTTTGGTCCATTTTACAACATTTCTTGCCGCAGTTGTTAAGTGAATCACTGCAGTTGTTAAGATACTAATCTGATTGTTAAATGAATCTGGCTTCACCATTGACTTTGCTTAGCAGAAGGTCATAAAAGGTGATTACATGACCCTGGAAAACAGCTGAATGTCAATCACTGGTTCACATCATAAATATGAGACAGTTGCCAAGCATCTGAATTTTGATCACATGACATCGGGATTTTACAAAAGTTGTAACTGCGAAAAATGCTCATAAGTCACTTTTTTCAGTGCTGTTGTAATTTTGAACAATCACTACATGAACTGTTGTAAGTCAAGGACTACCTGTACAGTATATTTATTTAAGAAAATGTATATGCTGTTTCGTTTAGATCATGGTTGACAAACTCGCGGTGTCACATTGCCATCACATGACGTATTGTGATATTTTTTCCCTTCAAAGAGTTGGGGTGAGCATGGCCTACACGTGATGCATCTGGCCCACAGGCCACCTGTTTGACACCCCTGATTTTTCCTACCTGAATATAGAAAGTGCTGTAATCAATTTGCTTTATCTCATTCATAAATATACTTACTCAGAAGCATTGCCCATTATGAATCATGAAACTTCAAGAGGGTTAGCCTTTATTTTTCAGTGCTATTGTCTCAATACATGAGGAAAATTCATAATATTTCAACCAAATAATATTAATATACAGAAAGTTTGCCTTTTATCTTTGCTTTCGTTCCTTTTGCAACTGAGTTTTGGTCTTTGTCTGCCAGGAAGTATACTTATACATGGGGGGGGGGCTCTGTGTGTGAGAGTGTGTGTGTGTGTATGTACATACACACACATACCATGTGTGTGCAAATATATATAATGTGTGTGTACGTATGTATGTGTTAAATAGAATGGGCAATCAAAATGTGATAAATATTTACTTATATACCTGGTAAAAAACAAACCTAGTTTTCATTTTCTTTAGCAAATA